TAAGAGAATCAACTGGTGCCATAATTTTTCCCTATTTTTTTTTCCTTCGGTACAACAAGCAGAAGCAGTTCCACTGAAAATGGGAACATTATGTATGAGAAACACAGAGATGCTTTTCCCAGTGTAGCTGTCTCTCCATCTGTATATTTTTTTAAGAAAGAAAACACTGAGATACAGGTACATAATTGGATCCTGTACTATAATTTACGCTATTTATCTAGCACTAATCCCTTTAAGAAAGACAGAATTAAAGGTTATCCGACACCAGATAATCAATCAACTAATAAACTGAAAACAAATCCTGAAATTTTCTATGTATAAAATAGAAAGCAGATGTGGAAAGCGTTCAGTTTGAATTAAAAATTCTCATCCTAATTCTCATTGCAGCAACTAAAATCATATATAAGCAAAATTATTATGCCAATTTAGACTCTAAGTGGGATTTGACTAAAAGCTTTCCCTACAGTACCAAGAAAAGAAAAAGCCCGAATTATTAATGCACGTAATTTGGACTACAATTTGGAATAGCAATCAAGACATGGACTGTGCTGTCTCAATACAGTGGTTAGTTATCTCAGTTGCTATTTAAGAGAACTGTCCGAATAGACAAGCTGGGGCAGTTGGGTAAAATGAAAACATACATGATTTCTCCTTTTCTTTTTTCCCCCCTATTTAGAGGCTGTTTTACCCCTGGCCTCATAGGCTAAACAGAATGCCTCTTACATGTAATCTTCAACATACAACAGTTCATACAACCGTTCAAAGTTACAACAGCACTACAAAAAGTGACTTGTAATCATTTTTCCCACTTATGACCTTTGCAGCATCCCCCTGATCATGTGATCAATATTCAGATGCTTGGCAACTGCTTCATATTTATGACCGCTGCAGTGTCCCAAAGTCATGTGATCACCTTCAGACAAGTAAAGTCAATGGGGAGGGCAGATTCACTTAACAACCGGTTAGTAACTGCAGTAATTCACTTAACAATTGTGGCAAGAGAGGTCATAAAATGGGTCTTAAAAAACTCACTTAACAAATGTCTCACTTAACAACAGAAATTTTGGGCTCAAATGTGATTGTAAATCGAGAACTACCTTTATTTAGTAGTTTTTTTATTTTATTTTTGGCATTTATCTCCCTTGGTGGCATGCAAAACACTAAGGGAACTGAAGAACAGCAGCAATATAGCAATGCTAAGAGTAAACAGCAAAACAATATCATTAGCAGAAAAGAGATTGAAGTGGTAATTATTGAAACACAGTGCCATAAAATCATCATAAAGGGTTATTTTAGAACCCAACAAATTGTATAAACATTAATTATTAAATATTATTAATATTGTTGCATTAACTTAGGCAATTTCAGGGACTAAATGGCAGTGCAGTTGTGTGGGGAGGGGGATGTTGAATGTTTCCCCTCATTTTATCTTACCTCAGATCTTTGAGGCAGATTCCTAAACTTCATGACTAAGCAGAGTCATGAAATATGGCTTCCCCAATCCCAGACTAGTAGCTTGATTAGTAAACCACTTTGCAGACATGCAGATTCTCTTTCAAGATGAACTCCTGGTGGCTTTCTGGGCATGTCCATGTAGTTTTTCAGCAACATACAATAGTAATAATATTAATAATATAAAAATGCTATGCGCTTATCTTCTTCCAGGGTGGAATTTTGATTTCCTTCCTCATATTTTCTGGCTTCTCATCCTTGTGCAAAGTAGACGTAACCCCGCTTAACTTTATAGTCCACATGAAGTTTGGCTAAATGTTGCTACTTTAAGGAACCACACAAAACACCATCCTCCTGATACTCACCAATCTATTAGTTTTCTCAATTGTGGATCAATGAAGAACCATAAACAGACATTCTTTTATCCTCAAGGTGCCATGAAAGGGAATTACTGACAAATTACAGAAGATAGCCTTTATGTCTGCTGTAGTTAAGCTGCGTAGCATTGTAACAGTACATTGAAGATTTAATAATCGTCCATAAGCTTTCATGATTCACAGATTACTTTGCCGCCTTCATGAAACATTAGTCTCAATTGACTGGGGTGGAGGGAGGGTGGGGATGGTAGACAGAAGAACCCAAGACTATGTTATACAAGAAATCCAGCCAGACTAATGGAACTTCTATGCCAAACTTAAATCGGTAGAAAATAAAAAATTAGCTTATTTGCAACACAAGTTTCTATGGAGATTCTCAGTCATCCAGGTCATGGTTGTCCCAAAGGTGTTTTTTTTTCCCCAAGAAGCAACTGGTTTTTCTGTTTTTTCTTTGAAGACGTTTCACTTCTCATCCAAGAAGCTTCTTCCGAGGTGAGAAGCAAAATGTCTTCAAAGAAAACCTGGCATAAAACCAGCTGGGTGACCTTGGGCCAGTCACTTTCTCTCAGCTCTAGGAATAAGGCAATGGCAAACCAGTCCTGAAAATCCCTACCAAGGAAACAACGGGGACTTATTCAGGCAGTCTCTCAGAATCAGACATGAATGAATGGAAGGGGGAAAACTTTTTAAAGACTCCAGGCAACATAATTAAGGCCTTAACTCCAAACAGTACCCGTATAGAGTTAGTCATTGATATCCTTTATATACCGTATATGTTAATAATAGTTAATTCTTATCTGGCTATTTATGAGAGTTTTAATTCAACGTGCCTGAAGGTACTGAATTAAGAAACTTAGTATATGTTTAAGGCTGTATGTTAAAAACACGCTCTAGAGGGGGTTAATTATTATGAATTTAAAATATACATTTGAGCCATCTTAAGCACTGCTTGTGATGGCAGCTTTATCATATCTACACCTCTCACTGACCTTACCTATATAGGTAGTCCTCGACTTACAACCACAATTGAGCCCAAAATTTCTGTGGTTAAGGGAGACACGTGTTAAGTGAGTTTGTCCCATTTTATGACTTTTCTTGCCACAGTTGTTGTGCGAATCACTGCAGTTGATCAGTTCGTAACCTGGTTGTTATGTGAAATCGGGCTTTCCTATTGACTCTGCTTTTGCCAGGAGGCGGCAAAAGGGGATCACTTCGCACTAGGACAGTGTTTCTCAACCTTGGCAACTTGAAGATGTCTGGACTTCAACTCCCAGAATCCCCCAGCCAGCATTCGCTGGCTGGGGAATNTTGGATAGCCATTTGTCTGAAATGGTATAGGGTTTCCTGCCTAGGCAGGGGGTTGGACTAGAAGACCTCCAACTCTGCTATTGTATTGTATTGTAAAGAAGGAATAGCAAAATCTGGGGCAGAGTGAAAAGAGGGATCAGCCTAGACTCCCTATATAGGCACAAAGTCCCTTTGAGTGCCATTGTCCCTTTTCTAACTCTAACCAGATGCTGACAGTTAGTTGAGAAGATTCATGTGCATAGGCTTTTAGTAATAAATCAGCTTAACTGAACTTTCATGTGTAGACATGGTCTTTTGCATCTGAGAGTTACCCGTTTAATGACCGCCATCACTTATAATCATAATTCAGTCTCAGTTATGTTTGTAAGTCGAGGACTACCTATAGGTTATTGGAAAGAACTGCTTGGTAAACTCAAAGGGACCTGAGATCTCCATTCCCATTACTGGAGACACTTGCAGGAATTTGACACTTGTCTTCCAGGTGTCCCACCTTGGGTTTTTCCATCAGAATTTCTATGTTAAAAAAAAGTCTTATCTTTAAATTGAAGATATGTGTGCATTAGCTCTTCTTGAATTACAGGCAGAAGGTTTAGCATGTGATGATTCATTAATTGTGATTTTGTCTGTTTCTATTGTGTCCAAGTTCTTATCCAGATCTTTTTGAATGGCATCAGGTTTTATTGTTGTTGTTATTCTATAACTGCGAGCATGCATCATTCCATATTCAGAACAAGGAGAAGACAGATACTGCACAGGGAAAGGTAATCATCATGTATAAATCCAGTTTAGATTAGAGCTTTAATGTAAGTAGAAGACCTGTACATTAAACAGCTTTGTCCAACATGTTGTCCTCCGTTCTATCATTACAGCTCTTGAAATGCCAATGCAATGAAAGCCCAGTATACCACAAGTGAGTTATGACTGTAATGGAGTCTGCCCATAACGATTGTCTCGCGACAGTGGTAAAACTGATTTTATGACCTTTTTTTATATATAGTGATCATTAAATGAACATCGCAGTCAAATGAACATTGCGGGTATTAAGCAGATCAATGATTTGCTGCTGAAATGCCGATTTTCAGCAGACATCGTAAAACACAGTCATGTGACTGTAGGATACTGCAAATGGCTGTAAATGTGCCTGGTTGCCAAGTGACCGAAGTGTGGTCACATGACTGGGGGGGGGGGCGGGAAATGATCATCGGAACTTTGAATTCATAACTCCCTGGTAGGTCCGTTGGAACTTCGAACAGTCACTAAGCGACCAATCGTATGTCAAGGACTACCTGTGTTCTATGGATAATAATGTTATGTCCAAATTAATGTTTATATATATAAAATATACACCCAAAATTATATTTCTCATTAATCTCCAAATTCCTCCTAATTGTCCCAAAAAAGATCTTTTAAATCCAATAATTAAACCTTCAACATCTCAGGAAGTGGCAGGACAAAGTTAATGATCAGCAACATATTTAGGTGTACATTAGCCAAGCAGATTTAGTTTGGGGAAGGAAGGGAAACCACACAAGCATTTTTCTTAATCATATTCAAGAGAAAAGAAAATTGGGAAGACATATACTACATTATACATATATATCTACACTCACTCCATTATCCCATCATGGCTAATGAGCAACTGCATATAATGTAAATCAGTATTGGTACAGCACTCCATTGATCTCAAAGCTCTTTAGATGCTTTCAGCATTATTTATGTTGATCTGAACAATAGTGAGTTTGTTGTTTTTGTCTGGAGCTTTATTTCTTTTAGCACATCCTTATAATCAGAGATGTTCCTATCTATCTTGCTTACCAAGAAGAAACATCACAAGGAAGCCACTCTGCCCCCAATACACCTTACCTTGAGGATCTGCCTTTTTGTAAGCGTTTCCCGCGTCAACGAAACAGGTGGCTGAATCGTGTTTACTCTGCAACTGCATGTGGAGCTTTGCTGCCTGACAAAATGCATTCCCTGCAGCTGAAAGAGAAACAGGGCAGCATTTTGACATCAAAAGTAGACATTTGAACCAGAAACAAGCACTTCTCCCAATTCTCTCTCAAAAAGGAATTTAAGGATCTGCTACTGAAAATCTACCAAGATTTTCATTGGGGGGTGCTGCTTCTTTTGACAAAGATAAGGAGCCTGACGTTATTTCCACATTTCCCTACCTGCCCTACATTTCCCTACCTGCTTTGACCACATAGCTGCTCAATTCAGCCACAGTGCTTTTAAATCCCATCTTTTGAGATTATCAGTTTCTCTAAATGGAAGGGAAATCGGAGGCTTTGGGTTTGTTCAGCCTTTTCCTTTCGGCAAGAATTTTAAGTGGATGAAAGTAAGTTGTGGTTTGGCTACATGGAGATTCCATTATTTAGATCAGTGGTTCTAAACTTTTATGAAACCATGGCTTAATACTGAATAGAACAGTAGTTTCTGTAGCACATTAGAAACAGAATGGAATAGGAATAGGAAACCTATTCAGAAATATACTAGTAGTTCATAAAGACAACCCAAGAGAACTGTTCAATGAAATTAACAGTTTGTTGTGGCCTGCCAGCGGCCAGCGGAGCTGATGGCAGACTCAGACAGTGAGGAGGTTGGGGAGGAACATGGGCCAGTCCTGGAGTCTGGGGAAGGCTCTGATGAGTGCTCTGCGTCAGAGGCAGAGATAGGGCCAGGACTGTCTGACAGTTATCAGCCGCCTTTGGAGTCAGAGATCAGTGGGACAGAAGAACAGCTGGAGCCTGTTCCCAATGTGCGCATGCGCAGAGCTGCCAAGAGAAGGGAATAGTTAAGAACAAGGGCCGACTCAGGAGTAAAGGCACAGGTGGACAGTGAATGGCCCCTCCCATAGGGAATAAAGAGTATCGAAAGGGGAGTGGAGTTTGCAGGGGACAATTTGTTCTCTTAATTGGTTTGTGACTCTCCAAGACTGCTTGCCAAGTATTTTCTTGTACAGCTTTGCGTTTGGAAGATATTGGGCTGGCAGCTCTCCATGCCGGATAAGGTCTGTGATTGTAAATTCACCCTTGAAAGACTGTTTGCTGGGACTTTGCTGGATGTGAATGAAAGGAATTCACATTAGCTTAATAAAAAGGGGTTTTGTCGGAACAAGGAGTCTGCTTCGTCATTTTGTGAAGCCTAGGTCAGAACACAGTTCTGCAACCAATTTTCCTATACACTGACTTAAAACAAACTAATGGCGAAAATACTGCTCCTCAATTTGTATATCATGGAGTTAAAAATACAGTATGCATAATAATTTCTGAGGAAGCATGAATTGCTCCTTTTTATTTTGATTGATTGATTGATTACATTTATATGCCGCCCTTTTCCCCGAAGGGGTCTCAGGGCGGCTCACAATTCAATCAGGGAAGGGGGTACAGACAGGGGAGTAAAAAAAAGACAAGACATAACAATACAAAATTTAAAAACACACAACAATTTTGGGAGGAAAGGGACTCAGATATCAATGAAGAACTGAGAAAGGCAATTTACTGTATGCAGAGATGGATGGTTTTTAAAGTTCAACGCTAGTGAGTCACAACTTGAAATATCAGATAAAGCAGCTAAATCCCCAGCTTGTGAACACTTCTATGTGCAATTAAGGCATGTTATTTCAGGACAATGACTTAATATTAATCCCCTCGACTATTGCAACGGTATCTGAATTTTCTAGTAAGACTGAGGGGCCTATAAGCCAATTCTCAGTAGCTCCAATCAACATGGCCATTCTTGAAGGGAATTGGGAAAACTGAAGTCAAACAATATCTGAAGGATTGCAGTACCCTCTCCACCCGTTGTAGTGTCCTTTATATTTATAAAGAAGATAAAAATGTCTATATATACCAGTCCAGTTTTTGGCTATCTTGAACATATTTGCAGCTCTTATGTACATTTCACACGCTTCTTCTAGCTTTGAATTTCCTCTAGGAGAAATAAAAGAAGACACAGAATTTAGTAGATACCGTTGCATTATGAAACAGCCAAATATGAAACATATTCAAAGAATACAACGAAAGGTTGACAGAATAAACAACACAGAAACCAGTTCCCTATAAATAGTGCCTGCTGCAAGCAAGGAATCCTTGGTTTTGTTACTGCATTGGAAGCATAATGAGTACCCAAGAAAGTCATAGGGACCTTTGACTCTTTACTAATATTCCCTCCTGACACAATCGAGCTTTTTTTGGTCTCACATACATATACATGTTATATACATGTTACTTAAATGTATCTAATCACAGCAGCATGCAAAAAACTGGATTGTGGAGCCCCTGTAGAAGAGAACATGGGAGGCTGTATTGTTACCATTTCAGTACTAACAAAATAGAGCCAGACCAATATTAGGTCTAAGACATGGGTGTCAAACCCACAGTGTCACGTTGTCGTCATGGGACATTTTGCGACATTCTTCTCTTCACGGAGCTGGCGTGGGCATGGCTTGCATGTGACGCATCCAGCCCACGGGCTGCCAGTTTGACACCCCTGGTCTAAGACGTTGAACTAGAAGGGGGAGAACTAAATTGAAATCTCCATTCAATAGAGCTTCTGGATAATATTGGGCCAGTCATTCTCTCTGCCCAACCTACTTCATATAATTGCTGCTATTAAGTATACCCCCCATGAAAATCTTCTTAAACTCCTAGAGCAAGAAAATGGGATGTAAATAAATACATAAGTACGGGGCAAGATGCAGTGTTCCCAGAAAGAGAAAAAAATGAGCCACACCATTTCCTAGTTGCTATTAAATAGTGCTTTAATATTATAGTAGCCTTTTTTCAAGTGAACATAAAGATAGTAAGAAAGTCCATAAAGCTAAATTGGCCATTTACACTAAGTGGGAAGCCGATCTATTTATAGATGAGATTGTTTGTAATGTGATTATACAATTTTTAAAAAATCACTGGAATTACTTAACAAAAACAAAGAATTAGGTTTATCCTTAATTCGGTCAGGGAGCAATATTTCTGTTAGCTTGCCAATCTGGAAATTAAAAAAAATAAACATCTATTGTAGGGGTGTCAAACTTGTGTCATCATGGCGGCATCAAGTGACGTATCAGGACTTTCCCCCCCTTCCCTAAACCGGGCCGGGGGGGGGGGGGGGGGGGGGGGGGGGGGCAGGGCCAGCACATGACGCATCCATCCCGCTGGATGA